TCAAAATGAATACTGCATACAGTGGAAACTCTACTGAGTACTGTACCTCTCTTTTAACTTAAGAAGGGACCAACATTTTCAACATTTATTTTTGTTATTTGGTATTGATAAAATTGTGGGCCTAATATTGAATCTGCTATATTTAGGCTAGATTAGGCCTGTACAGCGCGCGATACCTAGGCTAAGTATAACATAACATGTCTAAAAATGTGTGTGATGGCGGTAGGCCTAGCTTTAAGTTAGAATACTAGGCCTAGGCCTATATAAAAATGTGTGTGATGGCGGTAGGCCTAGCTTTAAGTTAGAATACTAAAGTAGTCAATGGTATAAACTCTTACCTCAACCAAATTCAAACCGGTAGGTCCTTTATATATTGGAGACACCACATCTTGATTTTGCGCCGTACAACAAAATGCGATTTTACGAACAAATTAACTTCTATATTGCAGTTATCATACACATGCTACCATCGCCGATTACCTCGAGAAGCGACGTCCTGAGGTTTGATGTACGATACGCCATTGACGTCTCTATCAAACTTATTAACTATAATTATAAGCTGCAAATTAATAATTACTATATATCGATTAATAACGATTTGTTTATACATTACTACGATATAATTTTAATCAACAAAACTTCAGATAGAAAGCGAAATAAAAATCCATAAATATATGTGAGTTTACAATCTAATGAATGTTGCCTCCCATATATTGTAAATTACGCCCTCAAATGTACAATAAAGTGTCCAAGATCTTTCAAGATCTTTGGGTAAGATCTTTGAGTAATAATTCTTGCCACGTACATAAAAGAACTCTTCTTTGTTTAGAGTGTCTCGACGTTTCGATTGAGTTGCTTCAATCGTCTCCAGAAAAATAATTATGGAATCTCGTCCAATTGGTTATTAATATAATTTGGGAACTCAATAAAACAATCATACAATCATTTTGGAGTACAAGAAACTCGAAGGAAAATCACTCGGTGACTTCCTTTATGTCGGAGGAAAAAACTGTTCACAGCAATTGACTTTTTGGTTTATCCTACCACCGACAGGTCTTGTCCTTTCTGTATTTTTGTTCTTTAATGTATTTTAACGTTTCTGGCGAATTAAATTAAATGAAACTATTCGAAAATCAAAGAAACGCCTGCTTTAGAGCCATCCTGTTAGATAAAACTAACTTTTATAGTTAAGTTTTAAATTTAAATTGAGCTTCGAAAATGTATTAACAAGTGGAATAAAGAAAATTAAAATGGAAACGGTGCCAAGTTTGCAGTTATGATAATGATAAAATATTAAGCATTTTCTTTTGTCTGTAAAAAAATTAGAAAATATCAGAATTGTTTAATTAAATTGCAAAAAATTTAATTTCAATACATTGTATGATTGTCTGGATCAATTTTATTTCAAATGATCTGTATGCAGTTACAATATACTTTGGCCAGTGTTTTTTTTTCTCAGAAAAACAATTATCTTGAGTTAAATAAATTATACACAAGTCGATCTCGTAGAAGTTAAGAAATTATTCTTCACTCTATACCATCAACTGTTTATATTACGAGATGTATATTTTTTACACAACAGGAAAGTATTACAATATGTTAAAGGGTACATCCTTACGTTGTTGTTACAATTTAGATTAATTTATTAGATTTTATTGATATTTCTTAAACCAATTTTTTGAATATGTGAATATTGTAAATAATGTTAATGGGGGTATAGGTTGGGTGGGGTCGGGGGTTATAATGAAAGTGTTCCGAGTTTCACTGCGGTGATATTTATTTATAAAAATTCCCATTCAACAGCTCTCAAACTTCAGTAAGAATAATAATTTCAATAGGCTATTGGTGGTGTGGTGGGTGGGGAGGGATGGAGTTTAGGTGATCTGGGAAAATGTGTTTATGGTTAATTTGTCGGATTTGTTAAGTTTTCATTTTCTCCTTCTTTTGTTTATATTGATTTTCTTTAAATTATCAATTTAAGTTTAGGTTTTGGGTGGGTAGGGGATGCAGTCTAAAATTAGTGATGGGTTTTTAGTCTCAATACATGGGCTAAAAGGTTAAGGCAGGGGGAGGTTTAATGTTTGTGTGGGTTTTTTTTTTTTTTTTTAGTTTACTCTGTTAATTTTTTTAAAAATAAGTTTGATTTGTTAAGTTTTGATTTACTTGGTTTTAATAATTGTTTTTCTTTGGAACCACCGCCTTTACGTGTGCCACCGTTGTAAAAGTGTAGTTTCCATAAGTATAAAACAAACTCCAAAAGAAGTGATACAAGTCATTTTGATTCAATATTTAGAACTTTAGTTCATCTTCAGGAATAATAATGTACCCAATCAGACTTACGTATATGCAGTTACAAGGTACCAATATGTAGAGAATAACAAATAAAATTTTAAAAGTATTATGTACAGATCAGTGAGATGAACAATGCTTTAAACAATGATAATGATGATTATAAAATGATATAATATTGTTTCCAAATAAATAATTATAATAGCCTGCCAGCTATATATTAGCCTTTGTTTTACTATCGTTCTTTAAAGGTTACATTGCGATTGCGTAGTTAATGAATTGGCTAATTAGTAAATCGTTTTGGGGTTCTTTTTATGCCCTATCCAGGTGTTTCTCTGGATCCACCCCTGACTTGCCCATGCCATATACAGTAGCTGATTCAAAGGGTGGGGGGAGGGGAGAACCAGCCCGCGCCCCTCCTAATTTTTTTCAATAGAAAAAATGGAGAATCCTCAAGGCGTAGAGTCGGTTGGATCACAGCTTCGGTGTTGTGGGGAAAATAATAATCATGTTCAGCATCTGCTTGTAGTCCTTTTGAAAAATATAGGAATAATGAAGGACTACCTATATTATAGGCCTACTGTATTTCTATTAAATTTGATGATTTGAAACGTAAACTTTAACTACGTAATAAATGATATGATATCAGCGGCGGATGTAGGAATTTTAAATAGAGAGGGCTCAGGGAGTGACTTTCACAGTTGGAGGAGGGTTTATACCTCAGCCCTACAACCGTTGAGGCTGACGTAAGAAAAGTTAAGATTATGGCCGGAAATGGCACTCCCAGACTTAAAATTTTAATATAATTTTCTATTTATCTCTTTTTATTGAGGGACCCCGGGCCCGCTGTGTCCACCCCTTAATCCGTCACTGGATATAATATGATATACCGTATGTTCTATAGTCGATGTCAGAAATCTGCTATGTACCAGGAAATCTGTTTTTGGATCAGAGCGCTAGATCGATGACACTATGGGTCCCGAAGGTGCGGACCGCCGCACGAGAGCGCATGCGTTACGCCAGTGGAAGTGGCCCAGAAAAAGATCAACGTGATGTGCAAAACGGCCAAAATAGGAACGGACTAGGCAATTTGCAGGTTTGAATTGAAAAATAAATTCATCAGCAAGCTTCATGTTTCGTTTTTTCCTGGCGCATGCACAGGCTTTATTCATCTACATACTGCTGTACTTCCAATGCCAAAACGAGACAAAAAAAAAGTCCTTGATCATGTCTAAGTTAGAAGATAGACGTACAAGCAGAGTGCCCTGGGACTGTAAAAATACTATTATATTATCGACAATTTTATTCATTATGGAATCGACCAGTCATTGGAGGATACTTTGTAGTACAGTACATTCAAATTAAGTAATTTCGTAGAACAAAACAAAACTACTTGTGTATTTTCTACGATTTAAAATGCTCAGGAGAAGTACATCAACACCAGCAGGTACCAGCCCAGATAAGTTTTTTTTTTTCTGATATGCTTAGGGTAAATCCTGAAGAAATTGACATTAATTTCCATGACCGCATTTATACAATTTGATCGCATTGACTTGACGTATTGATGACGTTGATTCTCAACCATTAGAATGTGAATTTTTGAAATGTATTCAGTTAGATGTGGTCATGCTCCGGCAATCATAAATTAAAGAAATTAAAAACAAATTAAGAAACATATAACAATACTTGGAAACACAACTGTTGTTGATACTCAACTAATAAAATCGTGTTTTGTATTAAAACCATATTTACCTGCACCAGGCCAGATGGACCAATTTCCTAATATTTGGCACTCCGGTGTACAGTAAATATGAAAATAAAAATATTGACAATAAATGTGTAGAAAACATTCTAAATTAGGAAACAACTGTCCTTTGGTACGTTTAAACACTTAAAAAGTCACCTTATAGATTTATTTACCTGTACCATGCCAAATGAAGCAATTTCTATTATGGTACTCAGGTGTAAATCAAGAAAATAAAGAAATTCAAATAGAAAGTAAATTTATTTTGGTACTACTTTAAATAATGACCTTACAAGTGTATTTACCTGCAATAGACCAGGTGGAGCAGTTTCGAACTTTGCAATCCGGTATAAAACATGAAAATAAAGAAATTGACAAAAAATAACTAGAAAGGATACCTAATTAGAAAAGGCATTATTTTGGTACTTAACCAATCAATTAAAAGTGACCTTAAATTGTTATCCACCTCTGCCTACACCATGCCAGATGAAGCGATTTTGACACGGTGATCCGTTTAATTATGAAAATGAGGAAAGTGACAATTAACTAAAAAGCATTTTTGACAACTTTTTGTTTCTCAATAAACTTAAACGTGATCGAAAATTCACATTTACCTTCAACACGTCAGATATAGCAATTTCATATTCAGGTGGTTTTTAAATCATGAAAACAAAAGAAATTGATAATTTAGCTAGAAAAAAATCTTACAACAACAACAACAACAACTTTCTACTACACTCAACAACTCAAAAAGCGACCTTAAGATTGTATTTACCTGTACCAGGCCAAATGAAGAAATTTCATACTTGGTACTCAGATGTAAATCATGAAATAAAAAGAAATTGACAATAAATATTTAAAAAACATCCTTGACGATTAGAAAGCAATTTTGTTTTGGTAATTTACCCGTTAAAAGTGACCTTAAAATTGTGCTTACTTGTACCAGGCCCGATGAAGCGATTTTGAAGTGGTACACCGATAACCATGAAAAGAAAGAAATTGACATCAAATATAAAAAAAAAACTTTCTTTTCGTACTCAATACATTTAAGAGCCTATATTATCGAAAAAGGGTCAGATAGATTAATATCTTACTTGGTACTCCGGTAATCATAAATATAACGAACTGACAATGTAGAAAGCATTCTTAACAATTATAAAACAACTTTCTTTGGCCTCAACTAGGCCTACTAAAGAGGTAAACCAAAGTGTATTTACTTACACCAAGACTGGTGAACCGTTCTTGACGTGATGCTCCAGTAATAATGATAAATAATAAACAAAATGAAAAAAAAAGCATTACCAAGAAATTTTTCCAACCAATTCAAACCAATTTTATATTTGGTTCTCAAACAAATGCGAACTTAAAATGTACTGTATTTAGCTGTAGGCCACATCACATCAATGCGATGTGCAAACGGCCAAAATAGGAACGGACTAGGCAATTTGCAGGTTTGAATTGAAAAATAA